GGCAGGAACATTTAGGGCAGGTCCCACAAATGGCAGTTTGCCTGACATGTAGGCTCATGAAAGGCAGAGCAGATGAGGCATCTATGCCACCTACCTCCATCTTCCATGGGGAGAGAAGCCTACATTTTGCAGAACATCAAAAGGAAATTCTAGAATTTTACAGCCCTTTTATAAATCCACCCTAAGAAACCTTTTCTTATATAAATCTTATATTATTTCTATTTTAATATTAGTCATTCCCATTCATTTTGTTCTCAGAGGACTAAGATCAGCTAGTTAGGATCCTCTGTAGAAGGAGGCTTTGTAGCTTTAAAAATCATTTTGAAGTATCATAAAATAGTAAAACTGGCATATTACCTAGGAAAGGAACTGACATGGACCAGTGGTATATGGCATGTAAAAACCTGAGACCAGTTCACATCCCCTGAGCACCAATGTAATCAAATGCCACATAGGTGCTTTCAGGGAGCATATTATTATATCAAATTATATCTAGATGCCAGGCTGGGCTAATAACTCACCTATATTTTAGGATCTAGGTCAAAGATGGCAAATAAAAAGTAGATCCACAATGTCATGGAGGAATAACTAAAGTAAGAAAAAATGTGATTCATAAAAGATTGCTTGAATTATCCCTGTTCAAAACCCTTCAATTACAGCATATTTGGAATCAGAACAAAAAATAGATAGCAAGCCAGAAACAGCAAGAACAAAAACTTGACCTAAATTAACATCAGTGAGTGAAAGTAGCTCAAGAGAGGGGGCTCAATTCAAAGACATTGCATTTAGGGCAGCAATAGGGATGACATAGACCAACTTTAGGAGTGGCAGGGGTATGTGGTAAATGGACTCCCAGCATGAGGGACCCATTGGTGTCAGAAGGCCCATCAGCTTTAGCTGACAATGGGGGCAAGTGTGAGAGACAGTTAAGGAATTTTAAACTGGTGTACACTGCCCACTCCATTTTCCCATTCTCTTCCTACAGTTCTTTATCTGGGAGAAACTTTTTTTTTAATAAATTAATTTTTATTGGTGTTCAATTTACCAACATACAGAATAACACCCAGTGCTCATGCCGTCAAGTGTCCCCCATTCTAATAGGAAGACACAGACAGGGAAATGTCGACCACAAAGGCCACAGATAGCATTACTGGTCCATTGGTGGCCAGAGGGAAAAGGAGCAGTTGGTCCACTTCTGCCCTCAAGGAAAGAATAGTGAAGTACACCCACCTCCTATCACTAGTCCTGAATTCACCAGCTATTGCTTCCTCAGAAGTTATTTCTTTTTTTTTTTAGATTTATTTATTTATTTTCACAAGAGACAGAGAGAGAGAGAGAGAGAGAGGCAGAGACACAGGCAGAGGGAGAAACAGGCTCCATGCAGGGAGCCTGACATGGGACTCAATCCTGGGTTTCCAGGATCATGCCCCGGGCCAAAGGTGGTGATGAACCCCTGGGCCACTGTGGCTGCCCAGAAGTTATTTCTAACTTTTCATCTTCCTCTCAAAGTCACTCAAGAGCCCCCTCAGAAAGGACACTGCAACAGCATTGGCCCTTTAGCTCTGCAGGGACCTGACCTGATCCTGGAAGCTTCCTATGAAAACGCCTCATTTAATCAGCACCTTTGCCCTAGCCACTGCCAAGGGAAATTCTGTTCATCAGGCTCCTCTGCTGCTCAGAGGCATATACCCCTCCACCAATGTCTGGGGGATTCTGCCCTTAGTAGCCGGAAGAGCAGATGCAGGGGTGACTCCAGCAGTGGTCTGAAGTCAGAAAGTAAGTACGGACCCTGCAGAGCTCAGCCATGCCTGACTACATGGAGGCAATTTGCAGAGGACTGCAGACACAAAGGCAGTCCATCTCACCCCCAAAACACTCTCCCCTCCTCTCTGTTTTTTGAGGTTTTGGTTTTGTTTTGTTTTGTTTTGTTGTTTTTGAGAAACAGGCTTTTTGTTGCCACTTCATGCCTATTCCCATCTGAACTGGTGCTCCACAGTTGAGGAGGAATGCAGTAAGGAGGCTGAGTTGCAGATGTTTTCACCTCTCCGTAAACCCAAGCAGTTTCTCTGTGCCTGAGATCATAGACATGGGCTTGACTTGGGGCACCTGGCCAGAAGTCTCCAACCACTTTCCCCAAAGGTGTCCTAGCCTCAGTTCCCAAAAGAACTGCTTACTGGAGGGACACTGGGAGCAGATGGGAATGCTCAATTATAGGATTAGTTAACGCATTTCTTACTCATAACATACAGAAATGCTGAACCTAATTCTTTTTAACACAGCAGAATTCTTCCTCCAACCCCCAAGAGGGAAGGAAATCCTAGAGAATGGCTGCCTGAAGGAAATGAAGTCCTTTCTGCATGGGTGGGATTCTTTGGGTCTATGTTTATTAGATATGTCATTTTAGCCTTTCAGGAACAAGTCAAGAGGTTTTTAAAAAGAGGTTCCTTGAGTGAAAAATGGTCAATTAAATATGTTTTCCCATTAAGACAATGCTGCCAAATACCCACCATTTGCTTCGACATGGATGGAACTGGAGGGTATTATGCTGAGTGAAATAAGTCAGTCAGAGAAGGACAAACATTATATGGTCTCATTCATTTGGGAAATATAAAAAATAGTGAAAGGGATAAAGGGGAAAGGAGAAAAAATGAGTGGGAAATATCAGAAAGGAAGACAGATCTTGAAAGACTCCTAACTCTGGGAAATGAACTAGGGGTGGTTGAAGGGGAGGTTGGCAGGGGGTGGGGGTGACTAGGTGACGGGCACTGAGATGGGCACTTAGTGGGATGAGCACTGGGTGTTATTCTATATGTTGGCAAGTTGAACACCAATAAAAAATAAATTTATTAAAAAAAGACAATGCTGCCAATGTAATTAAATATTTTAAACAGAACCTGCTTTACAAAATTCAGTTTCAAAATAAATAAAAGAGGGATCCCTGGGTGGCGCAGCGGTTTAGCGCCTGCCTTTGGCCCGGGGCACGATCCTGGAGATCCGGGATCGAATCCCACGTCGGGCTCCCGGTGCATGGAGCCTGCTTCTCCCTCTGCCTGTGTCTCTGCCTCTCTCTCTCACTGTGTGCCTATCATAAATAAATTAAAAAATTTAAAAAATAAATAAATAAATAAATAAATAAAAGATATTTTTTTCTTTCCAAAATATTCAACCATAGGTTTTCAATTAAACATCTACATATAAAATAAGGTTTTACTGTTGAAAAATTTTATTTACCTGACATTTTCAGAAACTTGCCTATTAAATACACAAAGTTTGCTCAGAGGGCTAGATTATGATCATTGGATCCCCTGTAAATTCCCTGTAGGCTCTACTATGAGAGTTGCTATGGCACTCAGGTCAAAATTAAAACATGCAAGAAAAGGCACTTTGAAAATTACACAGCATGACAATACTAGACATTATAAATATTAAATATCAAATTTTGAGTATGTTGCCTAGGATTTGCTTCAAAATAATAGGAAGTGTGGAAAAGGGGAATAAATGAAGCAAGACTTGTCAAAAGTAGGTAATTGTTGAAATTGGATGAGGCATATACATTGGTATATTGGGGTTCATTATACCATTCTCTCCTCTTTTGTTTATGTTTGAAATTCTCCACAATAAAAAGTTTAAAACAGTAAAGCTATGTGGAGCCTTGGGAATTGTATTGTAACCCTCTTTCATGTTGTAAAGGAGAAAACCAGTTTTCTCTAGAGAGGTTAAACGATCTTCTTGAAGTCACATAGCTAGCTGCAGAGCCAGGAGTCAAAATTCTTCTTTGGGTCTCTTCTATGGCCTCACAGCAGGGGCCTCGGGCAGGAGTGGGTTCCTTTGGCCACTGTCACCAACATCCCCCAAGTTCTTCAAGCTGCCAGGTGGGTCTGGGAGCATGCTCCGGAGAGAGAGGCTGCCAACAGCGGAGCTGGACCTGGAGCGGGCGCCAGAGGCCCTGGGCGCAGTCCAAACTGAGTAGAGCAGGGGGAGGAGGGGAGTTTTCCCGCCCGCCCGCCCTGCTGGGTCACTGACACCTACAGCAAGACTCCCTGGAGAACCTGACCTTGGCCTAAGAGACAGGCTTATTCTCTTCCCCTCCGCCACGCCATCTTTCCAACCCACCACCCGCTGCCAAAATACCAGGGCTCTGAACCGGGAGATGCTGGGGTGGGTGTCAGGGCGTTCCAGGAAGTAAATTGGTGGCGATTTTACCCACTCCAGGGACGGGAAGGACGGGAAGGATTCTAGAGGGTCTGGAGAGGCCCGCTCCAGCAGGATCTGTGTCTGCAAAAGGATATGGATTGGAGGAGGGAGAAAGGAGCCGCCACTGAGCCCTTCGCCATGGTAGTAAACAAAAAAGGAAGTCTGAGGTCCCCTTGCCTTCCGGAGGGAGACTTCTGTGTGCCAAAATTCTTCAGATTTTGACCGCTGGAAAAACTGGGGAGTTGGCGTGGGTGCCAGTGGGGTGCACTAAAATTGTAAGTGCCCCCAAACCCAAGAAAATGTTCAGAGACGAGAAAGGAAAAAGACTTCAAGACTGGGGATACTATGACTAAGTCCTCTGTCACATTTGATTGGATGTGGGGACCTTTGATGGCCCGGTTGCCCGTCAGGAACCCCTGGACTGCATCCTCCTGACCCCGCTGCCGTCGTCCCCAAGTCCCCAAGCCGCCAGCCCGTTGGGTCCCTCTGAATCCCATCTCTTCCGCGTCGGCTCACCGCGTCCCCCCATTCCTCACCTGCGTGCACGAATCTCCCGAGGTCCCTCTGGGGGCCAACTCGCCTCAGGTCTCTACTTTGTCTATTAAGAAGGGTCCTGGCCCCGGGTGTCCTCCGCGCGAGGGTACGGACCCCCTCGACCCTGAACTGAAATCCCAGGAACTTCTAGCTCTGCAGACGCAAAGCGACGGGCCCACTAGCCCCCCAGGTATATGCGGCTTTTGGCGGGGTGCCAGCCCCGCGCCCCCGATTCCTGCCCACCCCCAGGCCGGGGCCCTGGAAACGCTCACCATCGCGGCTGCTCTCCTCGCGGGCTCGCCTCCCAGCTGGGCCTGCCCACCCCAACTGCTCCAGATACAGCCGCCTCCGCTGTTGTGACACACTGGGCGGGAGGGGGCCGGGGACAGACAGGCCCGGCCAGCAGCTGTCCCGCAGCATCACAGTGCCCGGGAGGGGAGGGACCGGGCAGGTCACAATTGCTCCTCCCCGCCCACCCGCGGGGCCCCGCCCCCGCCCCCGCCCCCGGGTCCACCCTGTGGACCTGGGCGCCGCTGAGGCTGGGGATCGCTCGCGGCTCCCGCTCCCGCTCCGCTGGGGAGGCAGTCCTATCACCAAAGCGCACTCTCACTCTGTGTGATCCGCCACTAGCTGGAAAGCTGCTTAGGAAAGATATGTAAAAGTGCTGCAAAACAAAATGTGTATCACTGCCCAAACTTTTATTCTTTTCCCGCTGCCAAATACTAGCTGCCAGGAAGGCCTAAGACAGCAGGAAAGGCACCTGATTGGGGTTTAGTTGACGGCAGTCACCCTAAGCCCGGGAGAGTGCAGGGCTCACTGCTACGAGGAGTAGGCTACCAAGCTCAGCTCTGCTTCTTACCTGCCAGTGCTTGAGCAAGTTGCTGAGCTTCTTCTCTAGTAACCTGTTTCTACTTCCATCAAAGCCGATGTACATTAGAGAATTAAGTGAGAGAACATATACAAAGCCATAAAGCTCCTGACACACAGCAGGTGCTCAATACTCAAGCTGTTTCTATTTCTACTGCTCTATCCCTGTACATCACTCTTCCATTATTTTCAAATCTGTCTTGATCCATTTATCATCACTCCCTCTTCCTACTTTTAAGCCCAGAATGGACTAAATGATATCAGGGTTCTGGCTTTCTCCTTACCCAATAATAGGGCCTCCTGGTGGTGGCCACAATGATGCCAAAGGGCAAGGGATCCCAACTCTCTAGTCAAAGAGGCTGGGGGCAACTGAGTCTGGCCTTGGTAAGAGCCCCTCTCTTTATACTTCAGATTTTGGCAACATTATTAAACCTCCATCCACTTTCCCCAACAGAGAACAATCCCTGCTGAAACATGAGACCCAGTCTCCTATCTCACTTTCCTCTGACACCTGACTACCAACCATCAAGTCATTCCAGGCAAATTCATGGCTTTTCTGCAAGATACTGTAACACAGAGCTGTTTTGATCAGGGTACTATGCTTTACCCACTGATACATACAGTACTTATTAGATTATGAGTTGGATTTTTGCCTGTCTTATAATGTTAAGTTTCCCAAGCATATAATGGTAAATGCTCAATAAAGGATACTATTACTAATTTTATTTTTCTTTCTCTTCCAAATCCCATTGCATATTCCATTACTTCTTCCATTACATTTATCACTTTCCACTTTGGATTCTAGGTATGTGTGAGTGTGGATGTGTTTAGACATTCCCACAAAATTTGAAGACCTTAAAGGCAAGGATTGTGTTGTCTTCCCCATCAAAAGTATCGAGTTGAACCTAGGTATTTAATCAAAGGATACAAAATTACAGATTTGAAAGGGTACATGCACCTCAATGTTCATAGCAACATTAACAAAAATAGCCAAACTACAGAGAGAGCCCAATGTCCATCAATTGATGAATAAAGAAAATGCGGGAACATTCCTCAATATCATAAAAGCCTATTATGAAAAGCCCACAGTGAGTATCATTCTCAAGGGGGAAAAACTGAGAGCCTTTCCCTTAAGATCAGGAACTCAACAGGCATGTCCACTCTCACCACTGCAATTCAACATAGAAGTCCTAGCCTCAGCAATCAGACAACAAAAAGAAATAAAAGGCATTCAAATTGGCATCTCCCTTTTCACAGATGACATGATACTGTATATAGAAAACCCAAAACGGGCAGCCTGGGTGACTCAGCAGTTTAGTGCTATCTTTAGCCCAGGGCATGATCCTGGAGACCTGGGATCAAGTCCCACGTCGGACTCCCTGCATGGAGCCTGCTTCTCCCTCTGATTGTGTCTCTGCGTCTCTCTCTCTCTCCTCCCTGTGTTTCTCATGAATAAATAAATAAAATCTTAAAAAAACAAAAAAAGAAAATCCAAAAGGACTCCACCCCAAGATTGCTAGAACTCATACAGCAATCAGCAACCATGGCAGGATACAAAACCAATGCCCAGAAATCAGTGGCATTTCTGTACACTAACAATGAGACTGCAGAAAGAGAAATTAAGGAATTAATCCCATTTACAACTGCACCCAAAACCATAAGATACCTAGGAATAAACCTAACCAAAGAGGTAAAGGATCAATACCCTAAAAACTATAAAACACTTCTGAAAGAAATTGAGGAAACCACAGAGAGATGGAAAAACATCCATGCTCATGGATTGGAAGAATAAATTTTGTGAAAATGTCTATACTACCCAGGGCAATTTACACATTTAATGCAATCCCTATCAAAATACCATGGACTTTCTTCACAGAATTGGAAAAAATTATCTTAAGATTTGTATGGAATCAGAAAAGACCCTGAATAGCCAGAGGAATATTAGAAAAGAAAACCAATGCCAGGGGCATCACAATGCTGGATTTCAAGTTGTACTACAAAGCTGTGATCGTCAAGACAGTGTGGTACTGGCACAAAAACAGACACATAGATCAATGGAACAGAATAGAGAACCCAGAGTTGGGCCCTCAACTCTATGGTCAATTAATATTCAACAAAACAGGAAAGACTATCCACTGGAAAAAGGACAGTCTCTTCAATAAATGGTGCTGGGAAAATTGGACATCCACATGCAAAAGAATGAAACTAGATCATTCTCTTACACCAGACACAAAGATAAACTCAAAATGGTTGAAAGATCTAAATGTGAGACAAGATTCCATCAAAATCCTAGAGGAGAACACAGGCAACACCTTTTTTGAACTTGGCGACAGTAACTTCTTGCAAGATACATCTATGAAGGCAAAAGAAACAAAAGCAAAAATGAATCACTGGGACTTAATCAGGATAAAAAGCCTCTGCACAGCGAAAGAAACAGTCAGCAAAACTAAAAGACAACCTACAGAATGGGAGAAGATATTTGCAAATGACGTATCAGATAAAGGGCTAGTTTCCAAGATCTAAAAAGAACTTATTAAACTCAACACCCAAGAAACAAGCAATCCATGAAATGGGCAGAAGACCTGAACAGAAATTTCACAGAGGAAGACATAGACATGGCCAACATGCACATGAGAAAATGCTCTGCATCACTGCCCATCAGGAAAATACAAATTAAAACTACAATGAGATACCAACTCACACCAGTCAGAATGGGGAAAATTAACAAGACAGGAAACAACAAATGTTGGAGAGGATGTGGAGAAAGGGGAGCCCTCTTGCACTGTTGGTGGGAATGTGAACTGGTGCAGCCACTCTGGAAAACTGTGTGGAGGTTCCTCAAAGAGTTTTTTTTTTTTGATAAATTAATTTTTATTGGTGTTCAATTTACCAACATACAGAATAACACCCAGTGCTCATCCCGTCAAGTGTCCCCCTCAGTGCCCGTCACCCATTCACCCCCACCCCCCGCCCTCCTCCCCCTCCACCACCCCTAGTTCGTTTCCCAGAGTTAGGAGTCTTTATGTTCTGTGTCCCTTTCTGATATTTCCCACACATTTCTTCTCCCTTCCCTTATAGACCTGCCCTATGACCCAGCAATTGCACTGCTGGGGATTTACCCCAAAGATACAGATGCAGTGAAACGCCGGGACACCTGCACCCAGATGTCTCTAGCAGCCATGTCCACAATAGCCAAACTGTGGAAGGAGCCTCGGTGTCCATCGAAAGATGAATGGCTAAAGAAGATGTGGTCTATGTATACAATGGAATATTACTCAGCCATCAGAAGAGATGAATACCCACCGTTTGCTTCGACATGGATGGAACTGGAGAGTACAAAATGAGTGAAGTAAGTTAATGGGAGAAGGACAATCGTCATATGGTTTGACTCATATGGGGAATATAAGAAATAGTGAAAGGGATTATAGGGGAAAGGAGGGAAACTGAGTTGGAAAAATTAGAGAGAGAGACAAACCATGAGGGACTCCTAACTCTGGGAAACAAACAAAGGGTTGCGGAAGAGGAGGTGGGCGGGAGTTTGGGGTAACTGGGTGACAGGCACTGAGGAGGGCACTTGATGGGATGATCACTGGGGGTTATACTATATTTTGACAAATTAAATTTAAATTTTAAAAAATGTAATAAATACATAAGTAGAAAAGAAAATGTGGTGTGTATATATATACAATGGAATGAAATCTTGCCATTTGCAACATGGAGGGAGCTAGAGGGTATCATACTAAGTAAAATAAGTCAGAGAAAGTCAAAAAGCATATGATCTTACTGATACGTGAAATTTAAGAAAGAAAACAGATGAACTTGTCAGAAAGGGGAAAAGAAAAAAAGAGAGGGAAATAAGTCATAGAGAACAAACTTAACAACAGAGAACAAACTGAGGGTTGATGGAGGGACATGGGTGGGAGACGGGCTAGATAACTAATGGGTATTAAAGAGGGCACTTATGATGAGCACTGGTGTTGTATGTAAGTGATGAATCACTGAATTCTATTCCAGAAACAAATATGGCACTGTATGTTCACTAATTAAAGTTTACATTAAAAAAAAACTGCTGTGTGGCTGTAGGATTGACAATAGACCTGTATAACTGGGCATTCAATGTATCTGCCACACAGAGGAGCGAGAGTCCCACGAAGTTACAGAGATCAATTAGGAATAGCAAAGTCAAGACTGAGAACAGCTGGGTTTGGATTTCCTGGAAAGCCTGTGCCAGAGGCCAGGACAGAATCCAGGGAGCAAAGTTGAGTGGTTCTTAGATCAACAAGCCCATATGGTGAGCTGCCCAAGCAAGGGCCAGTGTTCATGAGCCATGAGGACAAAGCAGAGGCTGGAGATGGGAGAAAACCATCTGGGAGACCCAGATCTCTGAAAGCTCATGAGAACTTACCCATTCAACGAATTTCACTAATCTTTATTGAGTACCAACTATGTGTCAGATACTGTCTAGGATGGGGGATATAGCAATAAATGCATCAGACAATAAAAAAGTAATTAGTTGAGTGTATTAAAGATG